GTTGGTTAAAAAACTAAATGCCAGTCAGAAGCCAAAACAAGCTTTAAAATACAATTATTTTTCATCTCTATGAATGCAAAATGACAGCTTGCTGAATCCAAACTAATTGTATGACATAAAGAAAATATAATAATATTGTTGCTCGATCTAGAATAATAACTGTTTTAATTCTTTACCTCCACTGTCATCTCTTCTTTCCTTCTTAATGGCTTGCTTTGCCTATCTATTGTACTTGTATTTTTTAAGGCTTACATGTTTTGAAATCACTACAGCTAGATACATATGACTGTGGTTTCTTTAGAAGCTTTTACAAAATTTGAGGATATTAAGAGGAAAGCTGAGTAAAGCTATGGTAGTTTAGACTCAAAGGTATCAATTGCTTTGCTGTTTCTGTGTCACTCAAATTTTTTTCCTGATCTAAAGACCAAATCTATATTCTCTAACTATTTGTCCAAAGGGTAAGGGTTTGATCACCTGCCAGGTTTCAGGAGAACCAGGACATGGTGACAGTCTTTATATGTAATTAGCATTCAAAACTGTGACCTGGAATTTTTTCTGAGATTATCAAAAATATACTGACGAGATCCAGTAATATAACTCTAAGCACAACTCTGTGCTGCATCAGTCACCAAAGCATTTTTATCTCTCAATGTCATCTTTATCTTTATCTTTGTAAGAGCCATCTGGTTCCTTTAGATATAAGTAGACTGAGTTATACCAGTCAGTCAGCGTTGGCTAATCAAATGACAGCAGATAACATGTACATCTGCAATGGAGACATACAGAAAGTGTGTTACGAACACAACGTGCATCATATCCTTGGCCCTGGGGAATACTGATGCCTATTTCCATGCAGACAGCGTTTCCCTGACCATGGTCCTTCTACATGCATGCTACACACACACACACACACCCCAACTCCTATGCTTTCTTTATCTGTGTGATACACTTCACTTTGGTGAAAATTCTGATGGTATTCACTTATGTGTAAGTTAGATGCTTGCCCCTCTACTTGATAGTGAGAAGAAAAATACTGTGAACTCAGACTTCAGCCTAAACACTGTGCCCAAGTTTCTCTGCCCTTGCTCTTGATAAATGCTGTTTCTCATCAAAACTGCTGTTTCTGGCTTAATAATGTTGGTCTGAGACATGATGAGATATGAATTGTGACTGCTTTAACGGTGCTGGGAAGACTCGCAAATCAAATGCTTTACCAGCCAAGTTACTCTTAAGCCAAAGTATCTCCTTTCAACTGGGCAGGGAGAGCCAGAATAACCAGGTCAAGAAAATGTGGGCATCTGGGTCTGAATCTGATCATCTAGTGTCTAACCAGAAAGAAATCATCATCCTGTCTTGAACATGTAGGTTGAGATTGCTGGACATCTCTCCATATCCAGGGCCCTGGGCAGCTCTGATTAGCCAGCCGAACCTGAGGAAGCTAAAACTAGGAGAGATGTGTTTTCTCTCTAGGCCTTCAGGTTGGAGAGGGAGGCGTACTTCTTTGATCACATCAGTGCAGTCAGAGCGGCAGACTTGCCCCGCGTCAAGCGAGTTTGAAAACGTGAGCAACATTTCTCGTTGCAGGTAGGTTGTTTGTACGGTAGGTGGCAGCATTGGGACACCGACCAGCCTTCGTACAGAGCCCCAGGCCTGACGGCTGCTTTTCTGATTCCCGTCATCCTCTTGCAGTTATTCTCCTTTAAAAGCAAGGGAAAGGGGCTATTATTCCTTCAGAAGCTTCAGCAAGATCTGTCTGATATCTACATAGTCACTGATGTTCAGGAAGAAACACAAACACTAAATAAGGCTCCTAGCCCTCAGTCTCTGTGACTTGACAGAAGTAGGGACCTGGAGTTGAAAGCATAAAACCTATAGTCTTGATTCATCACAAAGTTTTACGACCCAAAAAAATAAAAAGATTTTGACTCCAGAGTCCTCTGGAAATGCTAAAAGGGGAGAGGATGAGCAATCCCTGTGTGTGCAATGCACTTCCAGAGTCAGCTGTGCTACTTCAATACCAGAAGGTGAAATCTTATATACAGGAGTTTCACTCACAGATCAGGTAGAGGCAGGCAAGCATTTCATTCACAGGGACAAGCAAGCTGAACTGAGTAAGATTTTCACAGAATCAGAGAATTATTTGGTTGGAAGGGGCCTTTAAAGACCATCTAGTTCCAATCCCCATGGACAGGGACTTACTTTCCACTAGATCAGGTTGCTCAAAGGCCCATCCAAGCTGGCCTTGAACACCTCTAGGGATGGAGCAACCACAGTCTCTCTGAGCAAGTTGTTCCAGTGGTTCGCCACCCTCACATTAAAGAATTGCTTCCTAATATCTAATCTAAATCTACCCTCTTTCAGTTTAAAGCGATTCCCCCTAGTCCTATCACTGCCTGCTCTAGTAAAAAGTCCCTCCTCAGCTCTCCTGTGAGTCCCCTTTTGGTACTGGAAGGTGTTGTAAGGTCTCCCTTGAAGCCTTCTCTTCTCCAGGCTGAACAACTTTAACTCTCTCAGCCTGACTTCATAGGAGAGGTGCTTCAGACCTCCGGTCACTCTTGTGGCCCTCCTCTGGACCCAATCCAACAGTTCCGTGCCTTTCCTGTGCTGAGGACTCCAGAGGCGTACACAGCACTCCAAGTGGGGTCTCAGCAGAGCAGAGAAGAGGGGCAGAATCAGCTCCCTTGAGCTGCTGGTCATGCTGCTTTTGATGCAGCCCAGGATACAATTGGCTTTCTGGGCTGCAAGTGCACATTGACAGGTCATGTCCAACCTCTCACCCACCAGCATCCCCAAGTCCTTCTCAGCAGGGCTTCTCTTGAGCTGTTCATCCCCCAGCCTGTGTTGATACCAGGAGTTGTCCTGACCCAGGTGCAGCACCTTGCACTTGGCCTTTTTGAACCTCGCGAGATTCCCATGGGCCAGTTCCTAAAGCTTGTCCTTCCGGATGACATCCTGTCCCTCAGGCATGTCAACTGTACCACTTAGCTTGGTGGCAAACTACCTGAATATTTTGTACATACTACAGTGTGTAGTGCCATACTGAGAGTAGTATAGCTTTGCTTTCAGGTTATATTTCTTTATGTATATATTGCACATAAACACGCTATTGATGAACAACAGGTCTTGGATAGGTTTAGAATAATATTTTATTTTAAGGAAAAATGATATCATTTTATAAATACATCAGTCAAGTGTTCCTTGGAAGGGCCCAGATACTGAGTTGTGCATTATCAAATTTGTACTTTAGAATTAATTTTCAATACAACTCACATTATAGTATTGTTTTATGTGATGTGTCTCCTCAGGTTGTCATGTGCATGTGGGCAAATTCTGTGTATTGGCCAAAACTGAGGCCCATTGCAAGAAAAGTAATTTCAATCTGAAAATTTTGTTCTGAAAAAATTCTTCTATTTCCAGGCAAAATAATAAAGTTATTTTAGTGCGTGTGTTCTCTGTTTTATTTTAAATTCTGGCACTGATTTTGGGCTTCAAGCTCTGCAAGCGAAAACTATACAAAATATATGTATATAAAATGTATTTTAAGGAACAACATAATATTCCCTGGGGCCTGATTTCACTCTATAAAATCTGGGTTCCAGATGTGAGTGGCCAATATGTGGTACTCCCCTGCCCTACTTAGGTCACTTATGTTCTGATTGTTTCATTTGATTAATTCTGTATCCTCACCAAGTAAGGAATCTTTAAGTTCATGATGCTTTCTAAATACCTCCTGTCATGATTTTTATCTGAAAGTAATAACTCTTTCCCCTCTTCCTGAGAAAAAATGTCTGAACCATGTCCAATGGTATAAATTTCATTGTCTAGCCACAGAGATGGTGAGAGAGAAATTTTACCAAAAAAAAAAGCACATTCAGAATAATCAAGACTCAGCACAGAAGTGTATCTTACAAACTGAATGTTTCAAAAGCACAGAAAAAAGTTTTATATTGTCCTCTACAATAATATAAAATATAAAATTTCAAGGTAATCAATTATTTTCTTCAACCAATATTATTCAGAAATGGAGAAATGTTACCACTAATGAAAGCAAGTAATTTTTAGGTATCTTCCAAACCTTCCAGAAAATTATGTCCACCGTTGATTTGTATTTCCCAAGTACAAAATAGAAATGTCTTCCTTGAAAAATCAAATCCTTCTCTTCTAATCAAATAAACACTGTCCCGACTAAGAGTTAAAATAATCTGCCCTGGCTGTGTACCTGAAAATGAACTGGTATGTCTCGTCACCTCATGGAAACAGTAGGAAAAAAATTCTTTAAAAAGACAGGGAAAAATAAATAGCAGTAGTTAGTCAGTTCTGAACTTTAACTTCTCTGAGTTAAACCTATTTAAACAATTACAATACTGCAGAAAACTTTGTTTTCTTTACCTCTTATAAAGTTTAAATCTTTTACTAACTACAAAGGAATAAGTCCACAACATTAGAAGACTTTATGTCTTCACACAGATCTCTTCTTTCTTGCTGATGTCTGTTTACACGATGCAGGGGCTCAGAAAGTGGTTTTTTTTTGTTTTTTTTTTAACTTTAGAGAACACTTGTGAGACTCTGCTGCTGTTTCCAGAAACATTTACTGCTTCCACCATTTCTCATGACCACTTCAATCAGATCTTGAATAGCTAGGAAAAGATTTGTATGAACAACCAGTCTTCAAAAGTATTGATATTTTAAACAGTACTTGGAAGCTACTGCCTCATTATGAAACAGTAACTCTAATTTCATTTTAACCCAACTGGACCTCAGAATTAGATCATGTTGTCTGATATGCTGTAATTTTACTGAGCTGAAGATTAGTCGTTGTTAAACTGCAATATACTGCTTTGTGTTTGTGGTTCAAAGCTCATTTTAAGAGTCACATAATATCATGAGCACAAAACACTTCAAATTATTTGGCTCAGGCCAAATTTCTATGTCAGTTTTTCTTAGATCCATTAGATTATTGTCCACCATACAGAAACATACTCTTGCATGCAGAGAAAAAAGGTGTATCATCTCTATAGGTCTTCAAATCCAGAGTCCTTCAAACATTTCTGTTGTTCAGTGTTCTCATCTCTATTGTCTTTTGGTATTCCCATAGTAACCTCTGAGTGCATCTCCATTTGCATTGACATGTGTTGCTGTTGGATAAAAATTACATAATGCACAACATTTTTATTCAATGGTATCACCAATTCAAAATATTATTACAAGCACACTGCTTAATTAATGTATCCAGAATTAGTAAAGGTTACTTACTCTGTCACCACTGGAATACAGAGATCTTATGAGTTACTCTCTCAATCTACAAGTTGCTCACAGGTAAATTTGCTTAGTTGATCTAAGCCTTAATTTTCTTGCTTGACACCCTCCAGGATGACATTACTATGTGCCTAAGGTTTATGTCAAAGTCACAGTCTAACATTCAGAGTTTATATTTCATTGTTGGATAAAACAGATTACCTATCTCAGTGCCATTCCCCACAGTTGTCCTAAGACTTTCAGTATGTCCTTTGCTATTTCATGTGCCAGCAATATTTGAGATAATGATATGTTCCATATGTTTTATTTATCTTTCCTAGAAGTGCCATCTACAGTCACTTGAGTCACAAGATCAGTGTCATCTCAGTCACTTGTTGCAATCATCTAGACAGTAATGACTCAGCTATGCTGCGCTCTGGCTGTCAAGTGTTGGTTTATTCAGTGTTGGTAACACTGTTTGGGGACAGAAATCACTTCTTTGTCTGTCAGTGATATTAAATATAGTTTTTGTGGTGATCATCAATTGTGGTAGTTTTTTATTTATATAGTGAATATTAAGATCCATAAATAGCAGTGCATGAAATTCAAGCAGAGAGGGAGATACAGAATATAAGCTTGATGGTGATGATTTTGTTTTTACATTCTGCCAACCCATATGTGATAGCCAAAATAGGTATTATAGTTAATTTGCACACCATTACTGGTAAAAAGGATGAGAAGGATTTTTGCACAGGAAGGGTGATAAAGATGGCACATTTGTGTTGAATTGGATCAAATTATTTTGACCAGAAGTTTCACAGCAATCACTCTGAATCTTGAAAATGAGAGAAATAGGAGACTTGGCTTCTGGCTAGATCTGTAGCTCTTGAGCTTTTCTGAGAAGATGACTACAGAGAATAAGAGGAGCACAGTCTGCTCTTGGGAGCCATCCCAAGTCTTGGGGAATGAACTTCAGGTGCAAGTCAAAACACTTCAATTTTGTCATTTGTAATATGATTATATAGCATATGCACATTGTTTTTCCAATAAATTTGTTTCGAGAAAGTAAAATTAAAAAAAAAATTCCGTACCTCTTGCCTCACAATTCAAATTATGATTTGTGAATTGAGATGATCTGTGGTTTCTGTCAGAGTTTGCAATCATGTAGATGTATTATACTAGAAACCAAACCACAGTATTACATGACATACATTTTCTCCTTGGGAAAGAAGATGGCACAACATCTCACCTTGGCGATTGTTAGTTACACTGCTGAATGGGCTACTAGGAGATATTTTGATATTGCAGTTTAAATACATTAATACAGTAGAATACAGTAAAATTAATAGAAATCCTACAAAGGCTCTGGAAAAATATTTTGAGCATATAGGGCAGAGAAAATCCTCATTACATTTTCCTATTTCAATGATGTTTTCCCCAAAAAACACATAGTTTCGGCACACCTGTGCCTTCTCCTCGTGTGTTGTAGGATAATGAGGTAAGAGACCATCTTACCATGCCTCCCAGAGCACAGTTCACTGTGTAGCTTCTACAGAGTTCCAGGGATCTAAACTACTACCTGACTAACACACTTTTTTTCCTGTAATTCACACAGTGACAGACAGCAATAAGAAACATTGAATTGTGAGAGCCAAGGAGCTCCACTAATGATAGTCACAAAAAATATTGCGAATATTTTGTTTCCATCTTGCCCAGTTGACCTATACTTTGCCATCAGATAAGCAAACATCTGACCTCACAGCACATCAGCTCTTCCAAAGTACACACCTCTGTACATGTCTTCGTCCCACAGCAGGGGCACAGCTGGGGTAGGTTATATTGCATGTATTATGGACCCTCCTCTTATTTGCAATAAGAACGTGCACGATTATTACAACATAGCCAATGACTTGCAGATCTCCAGGAAAAAGTTCCCTTTGATAGCAGGCCTACATGCTTATATAAATAATATCCCATAAGTGATTATTTTCAGGGAGTCAGGGTGATCACTCCTTCCAACTCAGCATATTCTGTGACTTTGTGATTCTGTAAAATGTTGGTTCAGAGTACGGAAGCACTTTTAGGTGCACCAGACATAATAGTCCCCTGAGGATTTTCTCCATCCTGTCTACTGAGATAATTGTCCTGTAATCACTACAAGTTTTCTGTTCTCTGCTGGCTTCACTATAAATGTTCTGCATACTTTTTTCCAAGTTTTTCTTAAAAATTACAGGCTGCTCCAAATGTAATGTGCCATTCTGATGGCAAGTGATATCGTGAGTGTTGATGCAGTGAGATAAAAAAGACAGACCTGGTGACGAGTCTCATCTGTTAGCCAAGTTTTGATATTATCTGAAGGATGTGGAACAGGCATAGTTATAACTTCCAGGCATCTATACCTAAAAGACAGTGATACAGGCTCATGACTATTATTGTCTACAGGAACAGATCAGTCAATAATGCTTCGTAATACATATTCCAATTAGACAGGCATCTACCACTTCTAAAGCTATTTCATAATTTTCTCATTTCACTGCAGACATTTTTCTCAACATTTTCCTTAGCTCTTCTTCAGCCTGCCTGGTTTTTAGCCTGCCAGAGTTTTAAGAGAACTGATGGATATACACAAATATATGATTTCCAAGCAAAGTGAGAATTCGTGGGATGCTACAACGTCTGTAGTTTAAGAAGTCACCCCTGTGTGTGCTCTTCATAATTAAAAATTGATAACTTCTTTTATATGAATCAGGAATAATATTTAATCATTAACTAAATAATCAATTTACTTTTAACAGAGGTTCCATTTACATACTGCACCTTCCAAATAATAAGATATCTTGAGTTATCTTCCTATCCTGAACAAGTTTATTTTTCAGTTCAAGAAAGCCTTCACTGCCATGTCAATAGGAAAGCTATGAAGCCAGAGAAAAAGGTAGTGACATGGAGAAAGCTGGCTGCATTAACTGTTAGTGGGTGTAGGAGCACTACTATTGCTTTGCTCTACTAATAGTAATTATCATACAGCGAAGCAAATTCTTTCTGTCACCCTGAGTTCCCTTTTTCATTTATTTCTTGTAAACCATCCAGCTTAGAGTAAAAAACTGCTTTCATTACACCTACAGATTATGAAATGAAATTGGGCAACATGACAAGTGCAGTTCAACTTTGGCATGATCAACATTGATAGTCTTAAATGCAGAACCTGCAAAAGGATGGGGTAAAGTCACACTGAGGATGGAGAGGCAGCAGTGAAAGATTAAGATATGTCACTTATTGTGGCAAAAAAAACATCTGAGAGTAGGGTGGGAGACTGGAGCTGCAGGAGACTGCAGTGGGAGCAGTGAGATAAGAATTATAAGGTTCAGCAGGTCATAATGCCTGGCATTCCTTTGTTAGAACAATCGTCAGAAATGTACACAATTAACTATTCTTGCAAGCATAATTTATGTGAGCAGATCCATGTTTGACTTTTATCCATTGTATGGTTTACCCTGGTCCTGACGTCCCTTCCACCAGAAATTTATACAGTCTTCCAGAAATGTACACTACCTTCTACATGCACACATCAGCAAACCTCCAAGGAAAATCAGGAGACAAAACAATGTGAGGCTTAGCAGCAGGACATCCACTGTCTTTTCTTGAAAAAAGAAGAGGGAAAAATAATGTCAATAATATGACAGAGGCTAGGGTAGTTCATAAATGGGTGAACTATAAGTAGTTGGATGACTCATAAATATTACACTATTCCAGAACTGTCAGATTCAAAGAAACATTTCCTGGAGACGTTTTAGGGGAAAGGGGCATCTGAATTCAGCACAGTTCCTTCCTTCTCCTTTTAGCCCTCAGTCTTGATCCAGCACTTTCTTGCTTCATTCCTCTCCTGTAGTCTTCACCCCCATTTTTCCTGAAATTCTGCTCTTATAGGCTGGGCATGGCCTGTCTTGCTGCTGGCTACTTCCATCCAGCCTTGATTTCTCTGGATATCAGCCCCTCTGTCTGTCTCCTGTTGGCACTCATGCTGCTGCTCCAACTGCTGTTGGATTCCTGCTGCTGCCACCTCCCATCTCCACACACACTGAGTCTCCTGCTGCTACCTCCTCAACCCTTCACAGCTGTAACTGATTTACGGAAAAATGAAAATAAAAACATTTTGTCAAACAAAATACTCTCTTTGATTCAAGAAGCAACATTTGGTTTCTATTATACTTACCTCTTTTAAACCTGCTTGGCATAGTCCTAAAGAAAAGGGAGCAATGCATCTTTATTCTGTGCAACAGATACTACTGCTCTATACATTGAATTTCTTCCTCCAAAATACCCCAAATGCCAAAATACAAATGTCTTTGGTTGACTCAAAAGGATATTTCTGGCAAATTTTGGTTTTCGTTTAATATCCAATCTTAGAACCACAACTAGATTGGATTGGCTTGAGCTAACTACTTTGAAGAAAAACAGACAGGAACAGCTCTTAAAATGCTAACAGTCTGAGGCCAGTTAAACAGTGGGTTTAGGATCAGTCTAGATCAAAATCAATATGAAAATGAATGGAACTAGAGTTCTGAGTTGGACCCCATCTGTAGTTTAAACCAAGGACGTTACGGATTTCCACAAATTTGATATGAAAACAAGAAAAAACTCAAAAACTTGTGGGCAGAACTGTGTATAGGAATAAACTTTTTCACTCTAGGACGAAAAGGGAGTTCTTTCCTTCTTGCCTTTGCAGCTGAGGGCTCAGAAAACTTTTTCTGAACAATCTCTGGACTCTGTAAAGGAAATTCTTTTGTTTGAGGTAATTGCTGTGCATCATTCTGCTCACCACTATTGCGCACACACATGGGAGAAGAGGAAGCTCTGGTCTTAGCAGTGGCTGAACCACAAAGAGATTTGCTCCTCCTGCTTTCCTACTTTATGCATTTTGTAACATAGCAAGAAAAAGAAGCATATATATTCATTTTCTGGTGGTTTTTTTTCAGATGCAAATGCTTAAACTTTGTCACAAATAACAGTACTTTGAAACCAAAACAAGTGGCTTGGTTTGCAAAAATGCAGAACAACTCTGAATTACTATTAACTTCAAAGCAATTTGTGAATGCTCATCAACTTTTAAAATTAGACCAATTATTTAAAGTTTTTACATATTAATAAAGCTGATTCAACACTTCTTTTTTTAGCAGAAAGTTTCTATAGTAAACATCTCAGTTCAGTTTAAATTGAGAGGGTTTTTTTGAGGGCATATGCTAATTCCAATGGAGAATGAATGTGTTCCCCATGAGAAAATTAACAAATTCTTTTCATGTCAAAGGAACATTTCAGAACAAATATTTTAGTTATGTTTTGAATTATGTTATTTCATTTTGATGTTTCAGCTTTTTTTTAAATGGAGGTTGAAACTCCTTTTTAAAACATATTCTTAAAGAAATGTAGCACATTTCCTGGATGAAACACTGGAATGTCATGGAAAAGCAAAGAAAAAGCAGGTCACGGCATGCTTCTTCAAGAATTTCAGTAGAAACAGATCCTGCAACAGCAGAAAAATTGACACATTTTGAAATAAAAATATTAAATGGATGTTTTTCCTTTCAGGTTACTCCACATAATATCCACTTATACATGTTCTACATTAGAAGCAGACAAAATAATTTCAACAGAATACAAAATAAAATGGACAAAAAAATTTCTTTAGGCATCAAAAGAGAAAAAGAGTTTTCCCTGAGCACATGACCCTTCAATGCAATACACTGATAGATTCTTTTTATGAGAGCTACCAATCCTCCCTGAGTAGGAAGAAGGGAAATTTCTGCATCACATGAACTTATGCATATGTGCAGTATGCTCCAGGGTAAATCATCATGCTGCACCGAACACATGCAGATATTACAGCTTATGTGCAATGGTGGTCTTGTCCACAATAAACTTTATTGAAGTGGAGGGAACATGCAGTGATTATTGAACCTCAACAACATCTGAATCAGAAGCTGAGAAAGCAATGGTGCTGAAAACATTTGAAGGAGAGTTGCTGAGAGCAAGGTTTGGCAGGCTGGAACCAGGACAGGTGACTTCCTAACTCCATTTCCTTCTTCTAGTGAGAGGCTGGCAGGGAGTGAGTTAATCTACATTTCTCCACCCAGAAAAACCCTTCAGATTTCCCCTGTCTACACATCAGATGTGTTTGGCCTGACACCAGGCAGACAGAGCAGGCACACCCCTCCCAGGCTCTCTGTCTTCAGCGAGAAGAAAGGACAATCTCCCAAGTGCAACTCAAGACACTGATGGCCTTGTCTTCTTAACCACAGTGAGCATGAAGAACAATTAGGTTTCTCTCTCCTGCTATTTCACAAGTGAAATGCTTTAGAAATTAAATTAATGATATTAATGAATCCAGGCAATGAAGGTTTCAGCAGAGCATCTGGTAGACTAGGCAGACAAAACCCAGTAAACCCCATAATTGAATTTATATTCAATCCACTGCAAGAATAATAATATCTAGCTTTGCATTTCTTGTCTTCAGGTAAGTATGTACTTGAAGATCAATAGATCAAAAAGACATATTCCAAAATACACAGGCTATTGCATTAAATAAAGATAATAGCATTGTACTTTTTTTTTTTTTTATGTTAACACATAGACACAAGTTTCTCTCTATAAATACAATATCACACAATTATGCTGCTTCCCCTTTACCTAAACTGACATCAGGGAGTTCCTACTTGTGGAGGCATTTTTCTCATCATGGAAAGCACAAGTACACCAGTGTTAAAATCTAGTCATAGGAGGTGAAGGAAAAGTATTACAAGGATGTTGTTTACTTGTGAGCTGAAGGGGACAGGGCCCATATATTTAAATATTCCTACCTCTGTCAGATAAGAAATTATTCCCCCAGTGTAATAAATCTTACTTAGTCCTTAAAGACTATGTGATTTGATGAATGTTACAACTTCCGTAGATTTCTTGGTTTCAACAGTTGAAAGGATTTTTAGAGATGCTTGGGCTGTCCTTTGCAGGGCAGTGAGGAGAGTGTTGGGACCTTGTCAGCTGCTGACCATAATTTTTTTCTATCAGCTGTCAAGAGTCAGGTGCAGTTTAACTCAGGAGAACAGCCCTGTGCTAAACAGCCTTAGGATCATGTAATTAGAACTCAGACTTAAGGTTCTCCTTCCCTACAGCAAAGCTGTGTGAGCCTGGTGCGTGCCATGGACCCCTAGGTACTGTTAAGGCCCAGTAACACAACCTGGAGAAGAATAGAGGCAGTAATGAGGTAAATACGTTGAATGGTAATAACATAACAAGATAACTCATCGAAAGCAAGTACATGATAACTTACCACCATGAATAAACACTGGCTCACTCCATTCACTCCACATCTTGTTTCTTATGCATATCTCTTTCTTTGCCCTCACTTGTGCTGCACATTTTTTTGCTGGTTTATGAAACGGATACTTATAGTTTTCTTCAGTGACATTTACAATCTACCAAGATAGGTTTAGGGGGTTATTTTGGATGATTTTGCATTGCAGTTCATATAGACATAAATCTAGGAATGTCAAATACTATTATTTGCATTTCTAACTAGAAGGAAGATATTTTCAAAACAAGTTCTTATGTCCAGACAAATTTGACTCTTATTTGATGTGTTAGAACTGAAAAAGGAGACTGGAACTAGTAAAATAGAAGTAGGTATCATTTATAGTAGGACAGTAAGCATTTGAAAACATTGATTCCCTTTTCATGTTTTATGACACCATGTGTAGAACAAAAACAATAACTATGAAACTGAAAGTTTTAAGATTTTGATGTGGGTAGTGTGCTACACTTTCTTCTCTGGTAGAATAAAATCTTGTGTTTTTCAGCTGAAGGATTCTCACTATTTTTGTAACTATCCTGAAGCATCTTTAATTGTGCCTATAAAGGAAAGAATATTACTTCAAAAGATCAAGGTCAAACATGGAGTGGTAGAGTTTAAAGCAGAGGGGTCTCTAAATTATCCATCACTTTTGAAAATTGAAGTAAACTTCTGTAAATAAACAATGTTAAGAATTTAAGAAGGAATAAAAAAAGAGAACAGGAGAGGAAATTTTTGCTTAAAAAAAAATTAAAAGTGATGTTAGAAAGTTGCAAAGAAGTAGAAAGTATGAATCTCAGACATGGGGAGGCACAGAATCTTTGCTTCTTTGGTGTTAGGAAAGCGTGATCTCCTGTTCTCCTCATAGACCCTGTCTACCATGCCACTTCTTTCTCTTCTCTTCTCTTTAAGACTTTTCCAGATCTGGTGCTTATTTATATTTTATAGTGTCCAAAGCACAATATGAAACTTAAGGCGAAACTCAGTAGCTGGAAGGGCAAATTAGTCACAGCCTAAATCTTACATATGACATGCAAGTCATATATACTTGAATAGTATTTGACCTTTGCCTAAGAACATGGAATAATTGACTCAGTTTGTGGTTCTCTGCAATCCACAGACCTTTTGTGTTCTGCATTGCTGCCTATATTTTAATTCCTTATTTTGCACTGACATGTTTGACCTGTACTTCCTAATCATAGAATTTTCCTTAGTACTGAATTTTGGCTTGTTGACTTCAGACTTACCCAACATTTCAGATTTTAATCTTGTTTCCCATGATACTTACCAAGCCTTCCTAGTTTCCAGACACCTGCAAACTTAACTCCAATCTGTATCACAGTATTATTATTTGTGCTTGTAAGTACTCAGTAAATCATGTCTTCAGGTATTCAGAATAAATAAATATAGATTTGTATATTTTAATCATTATGCTCTTACATGTTCTTCAACGAATATCTACAAGCCTGCTTATGGATTCCCTAGTGTCTCAACACATTAGGTCTCTGTGGAAGTGATTAAGACCTTGGTTTGGTCAGGATACAGAATATAAAGCTTGCTCCTGTCTTCTCCCTCCTGTGTCTCCTGTAATACTGCTCCAGTTTTCTTCTTTAACTTTGTCACCCCAGCCCCAGGCATTTTGTGTTCCTTGCCTAAGTAACTACCATTTCAAACATTACTAACTGATTATCCTCAAATCTACTTTAAAGCCTCTCTCACTTGGTCGGTGCCGTTGTATGTCTTTTTTTGTTATTGCTGCAGTTGCCTCCCTTCTGTCTGATGTGCCCCCGTGATTTTCCACTTCTGTAGGTGTTTATTCACTTCTGTGCCTCAATGAATTTTCCTCTCTTTCCTCTCCTATGCTTGTATCCTGCAGATATGCACAAAGCAGAGGAGCAAGAGAGAGAGAAGGAAAATAAAAGCAGTTTATTCCATTTAAGTGAGGCTGCTGGGCTATTGCAGGATCCCTCTGCTCCCCTCGGGCATATCGCAGCCATGCAGTGGAAAGGCACCCCTTACTCCCACCCCTCTCTACTTCCACCTCCTTACTCTGGGTCTGGAAAGGGGAAGTAAATCAGTGTGTATGGACAGGGAGTCAGAAGAGCTCCAGCACCCTGATGAACGGAATACTAAGGAGCCCGCATGACCCACCCTCACTCCCTCTGCTCTTTGCCTTTTACCATTAGGAGCTTTGTGAGTAGACAGGGACAAGCCCCTGGAAGTCTCTGCCAGGGATTTTGAAGTATTAGGCTTGCGAGTGGTTTAGGGAATTGTAATTATTTCCAAAGGTGTCTATCAATCTCTGCGATGGAAAACCCTGAAGGAAACTGGGAAGATTTGGCATATCCATGCCAGACCTGAGCTCTTTTTCTGGATGCTTCCAGCCCTGTTCTGGAAGCTGATTAGCAGTATTAGCACTGCATCTGAATTAATGAACCCTGCTATAATTTATGACAATAACTTTATGTGATCGTTAATGTCTACTCATTGCACTTCTCCTTTCTACTCTGTCAAACAAAGAATGGATACACATCAATTTAGTCATAGATTCCTTCAGGGTGTTATTGTCTTTTAAATGTTTGCCACTAGCTTAGATAAGGCTTTTATTTTTAGAGTACCGAGCACTGACTGAGGTGTGTGTTAGACGAAATTTAGGTTCTTAAACAAAAACATTGTCAATGACAACTTGAAACATTGTTAATGACAACTTGAATAAAACCACCAAAGATTCAGAAAATTCACATTCCAATACACATCTGAACTTCACACTTAACGATATGCTGAATTAAGTGCTTTGCTTTCTACTCTTTGGGAGTTCAGATAAAAATATGCATGAAAACATTTCTGTTCTCATGTCCAGGTAATTTCAAAATGCCACTGGGTAATTTAGTCACCATATGGCATTACCTAAACTACAACACTATTCTATTTCTTACTGCTAGATTAAGAGATGCTGTTACAACATCATGAAAGATTTTAAAATACTTATAATGTACCCAAAAAAGAGGAATAATCCTTTTCGTGATGTATTTAGAAATAACAAAATAACATATGAGGGGTTTTTTTTCTTTACAGATACAAACAGAGTACTGCTAAACCTTTCTTTTTATCAATACTTCTTTTTCTAAAAAAAAAAAAAAGTCAATAAAATCTATGTAATAGTAATGTGGAAGTAAAATTCAAGATGAGAAGAGAAACACATCCAATCCACTTCAATGCAAGCCTGACTCTGAAAGATTTTTTAAATGTGTTGATATTTCATTTTTTACCAGAAAGACAATTTGGATTAATTATTAAAGGCCTTGGGATATATTCAAAGTTTTTTTGACATTAATCCCTGTTAAATTCAAGGGATGCCTAGTTTTATGAAAGTTATGTTATACATACTAAATGTATTACAAAAAAACTTACTACCTTAAGGTCTGTTATTTTCACTTGATACAAAAAGCACTTGTTATTTGCAGAACCAATAGTGGGTGGAGGTTTCCAGTGAATTTTAATACTTCTGTTTTCAAGGGAAACTGAGACATTGATTGGTGGGTTCAGCTTCTCTGAAAAATAGAGCACAAGGAGACTTTCTGTACGTCATACTCTTTCTTATATTTATGCTGATGGAAAATTAACACAGTACATTACTTCTTAAAATATACAGCTGAGTATTTTGAGGTTTGCCACACCCAGAGGAGACATTCAGCTGGGTTTTTTCGGGGAAGGTAGCAAGGGTGGGCAGGAGGAGCAGGGCCTCTCCAGAGTCTGTGTTGGTGTTGAGGAGACCTCCATCTGCTACAGGCTCCATGCCATGTAGGATACATATGTCTTGTGGGATAACCCAAATGCACCCACAAGCCTGGTAGTATTACTTTGAAAAAACCGGAATTTCATCTCTCACAGAAGGATTACTGAAGGGGCACTAGCACTTGGTAGTCCTCATAAAATCATAGAATGGTTTGGGTTGGAAGGGACCTTAAAGATCATCTACTTCCAACCCCTCTTTCTTATATCTCATTAAATCAATCCTCCTTCAGATTAAAACCATTGCCCCTCCTCATAGCGTAACAGGTACTGCTAAATAAGGGGAACCAAATACAAAGGACCCTTCCTCATGTGTGTGACCTGAAGGGTACACTCTTCCCTGAAGGGAGAGGACAGCCCTGACTTACAAGGAAGCCTTGCAAGAGCAAGTCCACCACTTGCACAGTGAAGAACATCCCCTGCAAGCACATTCAGATTTTGCTGAGCCCTACCAAGGCTTGGCAGTGGGATAAGAGGCAAGGAGAGCTAACAGGGTTTCTGCCTGGAGCTGAGAGGTGAGCAGGAGCTGTTGGCTGAAACAGCTGTGGCTGACGTGCAGCCCTCACGATGGCTAAAGTTTGGAAAGGTGGGAAGGGAAGAAGGGTAGGAAGGACACACTGGAAACCTGGCCTCCTCGAAGAGGATGTGATGGCTGTTCTGAGCAGGGGGAAGGAGACTGAGTGGATGGACAGAGAAGCAGGGAACAGACAACCTGATGCCTCCTACTTATGCCCCTGCTCACTCCTGCCCACCTTAGCCCTGTGGTCCCTGGGGAGACAGTCTAGAAATAAGCATCTTCCCAATCAACTATGAAAACGCCTAATAGAGCCTTCCTGTGGATTACTTCTCCTCTCACTCCCCCCCCCACCACTTTTTTTTATCTTTTCAGGAAAATCTGAATTTTCTGAAAATTCCTAAAAAAATAATATGTTGCTTATAACTGGCTCTGATTGTAGTGTAAAGCTCTAGGTAAAACAAATAATTCTAATGTCTTAGAACAGAATAAATAAGATCTAATTCAGAATACATTTTGATAGTTTTGATTTGTATTTTTTCGATCCCTTGAGTCATGACGGATTCCCACATCGCAGGTCTGGAATGCGATCAACATGTTAATAACTTAAAAGGCATTTGAATCTGCAGTGTCTGCTAAAATTCAAGTGAATTTTTACCCATGAGATTAATTCAAACTTCCCAGAGAAGTAAGGAAAAATAATTTTATATGATCATTCAAAACTGTCAATAATTAAAAAAACCTACCAAGATATTTTTAGCTTAAAAATAAATAAAAGTGCTACTAATGTTTGAGAACATTCATATTCTTAAATTCAGGTTATAAATGAGACTTGTCAGTGACTATTTATGCTCTTTCTTTTTTAAACATGCTTCCTCAGCACTATAAAAATAAGGAAAAGGATAAGAAAGATAAAAAATAGGGATTAGAAGGGCATAATGGTGTTAAATATAATTTTCTCACACCAGCTTATTTCTTATTTTTAAATGACAATTATAGATAAATGATGTTATTACATCAGAGAAAAAAACCCTCGAACTTTGAACCATAATCCATTTTGTTTCATCTTTGTGTAAAATTCCCATGGAGATGAATGCCTAAATAGTTAGAATTAATATTCTTTCACGTCAGCCTATTTTCTTTTTTTGCTTTCCATGAAATAACCAATAAATTAATTTTTCATAGTAGGTGATAATAGACAATACTTACCTATTGCCTGAGGTGTAAAAGCTTTGTAATAAGACAGTTCTCTTGAATTATTTCTGAAATCTCTTACTGTTATGTTTAAATTGATTTTCCTTGATGGTTGAAAATATATTTCCTTCATATGGCATCCAATATTTTTCTTTCTTGCATTTTTAATATATTGCTGACATTCAAACAATTTCCCTACATGCCTGTGAGTAGGAAAGTATGAGTTTTGTAAATCAAACACTTGGGTACAAAAACATTGCTTCATACTTACTTTGCTCAAGACACTTGCCTGTATGAAGAAAAGATCTGGATATCTTCAGGAGCTTCTGCTTTGATATCCCAGGTACAATTGAAAAAGGAAATATTATATATGATGCATGAAAGATTCTGAATATAGACTGCAACAAGGAAAGGGGAAAAAGAAAGAATTATGTTTATTTTATATTGCTTTTCTAATAACAATATGAAGGTTTCCTTTACAAACTCATTATGTAGCCTTATTTCTGGGAGCACGAATAAGTTCTAGGTGAGAACAAATAGGTCTTTTGGCTTTTTAGACAATGACAACCAAGAAGCACATCTGTTTCTACCACCAAAGCTTTGCTAACATACTTTAAAAAAATGTCCAGAATAGAAGCTGAAAAGCTCTGATCTTTTAAGATTTTCTGAAACCATGTGATACAGAAGCCAATCTTCATGAGACATGAGTTGATAAGGAAAACGGAGAGAGTGGTTGGGTTGTTCTGCCATCTTAGCTCACCAAAACTGGAGTCCTCTGAATCTGAACATGTAATAAAGGAAATAATTCTGCATTCTGGTGTTATGGATCATATTCTTAACAAATCCATACCAAAAAAAGTAGCAGAAGATAATAATGGGAGTTCAGAAATTATATGTCTCCAAATAAGACAGGACATTATCACAAATGCTTGGATGTCTTAACAACACATAGGAAATAGCTGACCTGCAGGTGCCTTGTAAGTAAATTCTGACCAGTCACTCTCCTTAATTATATCTTCTGTTTCCTTTGTGAAAACCTGTGTCTTAACTTTAGCCTTAAAACCAGAATGTAACTCAAGATGTATTATCTTTTTCTTTTCCTGCAGTCTTTCCTAAGAGGAGGAAGAAGAAATTGCATGAAGGTAGTGTGATGCTAAGTTTTGTAGGGGAAATTATGCAAATTCACCTACTGAATGAAGCAATACATTATTTCACTTTAAAATATGTGTAACCACTGAAGAACTTACTTTCCTTTCCTGAGTGGTATTGAAGAATCTGTAACTCAAAATATACTTCACAATGTACTTCTCAGTTTCTTCTTTTGTCAGGTTATTGTTCCAGGACAAAATGACTCTTGAATCATGCTTGGTAATCCACAGAACATTATGTATCCCAAGTACATCTGCAATTACAATGATATTACATAGAGGAAGAGAGGCCCACTCCTGTGTACTCAAAGGATTTGGCTCTCAGCAAGGCTTGCACACCCAGTAGCTCTACCAGGACCTCTGGTCCTGGAGTAGGTGATTTCTGAGCTTTGTTGAATATGACTTTCAGCAGTAAGAATCATGTTTACCTACTTGCAGGTCTCAAAATTAGTTGTTCAGTTTTACCTGTCTTGGACACCTCTTCTACTGCAGGTCCTCGTTTCTCTCCATGGGCTGTGGAAGTGCCTTGACAACAAGTTCAGATGAGACACCTGGGATGGCCAGTGCAGGATGGACTGTTACTTAATACTTTACTTACCCATTACTTTGTGTTGTCCACTTGCCAGAGTTGTGGAAAACTGTGTCTTAAACTGGTAAAAGCTTAATATCAGCATGACAGGAACAACTGTAACACGTGCCATAGCTAGTGCTTTGGGCCACAGGTCTGAAGAAACGGAGACTCTTTAGTTCTGAGTTTGGTTGAAAAAGCAGTTATAACATGACGTTTCCATTTTGCATCTGTGAAATAATATACAAGGGTCACATAACCACTTAAGAGATGTCTAAATTATATAAAGTAAATATGAAATTACATAGAAACATAGAATCATAGAATATGCTGAGTTGGAAGGGACCCATCAGGATCATCAAGTCCAACTCTTGAACCTGCACAGGACACCCCAAGAATTACACCATGAGCCTGAGAGCATTGTTGAAACACTTCTTAAATCAGACAGCCTTGATGCTATGACCACTTCCCTGGGGAGCCTGTTCCAGGGCTCAGCCACCCTTTGGGTGTAAAACCTTTTCGTGATATCCAACCTAAACCTCCACTGGCTCGACTTCTTGACATTTCCTCAAGTCCTGTTACTGGTTATAGGAGTGAAGAGATCAGTACTTGCCCCTCAGCTTTACCCCATGAGGATGTTTAACATATGTCTAACATATGTTTAAGGGGTCTTGTTGATTGATGTCTTCCGTCCTCAGGGTGTTTGTATTCAAGCCCACTCTTTAACTGTGTGCCAGGACCAAGGAGGAGATGTGTGCCATACTGCACTGCTTTTGAATCACAGCACTGCTTAGATTGCAAGCCAAGATCACAGATATGACACTACTGATACTGAAAACAGACAGTTTAGGTAGGAGTCAACTGACATAATTCTGACTAGATACAAACCCAGTAGCTCTATTTGTATCAGTTATCTAGCCTCCAGTGACTGTGGTCATTTCTAGACTGTGATTCGTGTTAGTTGTTTCAGGAGGTTATGAACCATAAGGAGAGATGAATCCTGCCATTTGAAAAAGTGAGTGCAAGCAAGAGTACTTCAGGTATTTGGTAAATTCGAGATGCAGTGAGCAAGTAGATTCCAGACTGATCAAAGTTGGTTTCAGGAAGACAGCATTGCAGTTCCTCTGATGGGTGAATATTCATTCCAAGGTTGTTTTAATGCAAAACAGCTTCTGAGATCTTCTGAGTTCTCCACAGAATTCATATGCCTCTGTATTCAGAATCTTTCACTCGCTAACTAATTTGTCTTGGCTCTGATTGTTTTCAGTTTTAAATCCTCAGACACATTCTATCCAGGGATCAGCACCTGGAGCCATATCAAAATGTTCACCAAGGACTGACAAGTGGCACTGGTCTTGTAGAGAAAAATGTGTGAATGTTCAGCATATCCAAAAAAATCTGTAATGATATTTCCAGGAAAAAAATACACATACATACATATACAGATTAATTTATAATGCAATTTTGGCACAATGCAGTGAAAAAGAGATCACTTAATGAATGATGTTTATGAAGTGCAGTGGAAAAAGTCATAACAAAAAGCTTTAAGGCAGAGTTTTCCCCATCTGGTTCATTCTGGGAGTGATCTCAGCTCTAGCACCACCAGCAGCTATAGTATGCATGTCACAGTATGCATATGGTCAAAAAAAAGAGTAAATTCTCCTGCTTAGTGTACCTGGGTGAGAAACCAGTTCAATTGTCTGGTGAGGAAAGGTGTGATCTGGGCCATGAATGGTGCTCCTGGAATAATATAGTGTGTGGTAAGACAAAAAGTCACCAACAATATAAAATGAAAACAAAGAGTTTTCAAGGGTTTATTATTTCAACATGTACTGGCTCATCACTTCCCATGATATGAAGCAATCAAAAACAGTCCTAGGAGCATGTATGCACATTATTTAAATTAGAAGAAAATGAAAAATAAGGATGGAAAACACTAAGCAAGTTAAAATATTTGTGGCTAATATTAACATTACTTTTTTTGAAAACAAAATCAAAAGAGGATGTGGAACAGGAAAAGGAACAAAATAAATCTTACAGTAGCAACAGCTTTTGGTGTTAGAAACAAAAATGGAAATAATCTGCTAGGCAATATAAATTAATTCGTTTGGAGAGAGGACACACAGGAACAGAGAAGGAAGATTTTTAAAGTAATTCTGAATAAACTTAGAAAAAAGTTAACCAACTTGAGTCAGAGAAAGACATTTCATGTGAGACCATTGCTGTTTCCCAGAGGTGAGCTATTCCAAGAAGCACCCTGTGTACAGGACTGAGAGGCACTTCTCCACTCAGTGTGCAATGAATTCTTGCACTTTCTCCCAAGGGCGCTGTGATGGTGGGCAGTGTCTGCAGGCTCTGAACAGGACCAGGCAAATATGTGGAAGTCGGGTACCTGAAAAGCTACTAAAAAGCATCGGAGATGGATGAACCCTCTAATATCCCTAATTCAACAGCTCTTGATGCTGGGGAAATACTTGAAGAATGGTCTGCAGGAGCTGCCAGAGTTGTGGATTATATCTGAGTAACGTCTGATGCCACTGCTGCAGGCACAATAGCAAAAGGATGACTAGGCTGACCCCAAAGGCTATTTCTTATGGGTATTTAAAGTGAATTGGTTCACAGAAAAGAGTAAAGTGAAAGCACTGAAGCGTAAGAACACCCAAGATGACCAAGGGAGCAAAAAGTTGTCCATACAAAAAAACCTTTAATTCACAACTTGTCAAAGAATACATATTTTCATTTATGCCAGCATAGATGAGCTGAAAAACAGAACATTTCCTCTCAGACAACTACAGACAGGGCTTTGGAGTCCTCATCCTCTGCTACAAAGAGCTTTGACTTAGTATATGGTGCTGAAATTCAGTCCATGAGGTGCAAAATAAAATTCACTGCCTGATAATTTTTTTTAAAGACTCTCTGGTTCTTTTGTCTCTGTAGAAATGCACACTAGGCAAATTAACTTACAGACAGTCCAGTTAACCTAATGGAATAGAAATTATCTCAACAATCTAAATCACCTAAAAACAAAAAAATAAAGCAAAAATTAAAAAAAAACAAATTAAAAACTTACTTTCCAAGCAGTGCACTGTCCAAAATGCCTTTTTTTTTTGATTTTAAAAAGTACTACACATATTTTACTTTTTTCTTTTGTTTATCCCCCTTCTTTCATTTCTGAGCTTCACCTGCAGTCAACACCTGTTGGTATTGCTGTAAACCAGCAATGTCTGGTTTACAGCAGTGCATTGTTGGATTAAGGGAAAGGGAAGAGAACTAAGAGGAGCTGCCAGCCCCCCCACCACTGCAGCTGCAGAGATTGCAATTGTCTGTGCAAAGTCCACCTGGTGAATCTGGGAAGCAGACAGTCAGAGAAAGAAAAATGAAAGTCGCAGAAACAGGTTTCACAAGATTTAAGAGCTCTTACTTAGAGTGGCAGAAAAATAAACTCTTTAATTTTAAAAACTCAGGAGACCAGAGAGTTTGCTGAAGTGTAAATCCACACTGCCTTTGTGTCTGAATAAGGTTATTTTTGAAAAATTTTGCAGGGATGATTATTATATCTTCCTAAATACAAAAGTTAATGATTTAAGAAATATCTCTTACATCCATATATTTTCATTAAAAAAAAAAACCCAGTAAAATTCTCAAAAAAGACAATTTCAAGTGCTCTTGTAAATAATGTTGTTCCTAATTTGGAGACTAAATTCAAAGAATAAAGAAAGAAATCTCTTATTCATGGTTCTAATGCACAGCCTTAGATATAAGGGGAATCACTCAGACTGTTTGTTTGATTAAGACTACCTAAAACTTATGCTTCATTCAAGGTTGTTGATTCATATTTTTCAACACTCCCCACCCCTCCTATCCCATATTTGATAGTAGAAAAGGTAGAAATTTATCAATGAATGATAAATTCAAGGTCAAAGAAATTTTAAATCTCTGGGTGGATGAAGAGTTGAAGCAGGACTACCATTTACTTTTTTTTTTTTTCCAAAACTTACCTTAATTTTAATGTTCCTTGGATCCTGTGTACCTGTGCATCATTTGGGCTGAGAAGCATCACAGATCAGCACTGGAACGTGTCTTGATTCTGGAGTATAATGAGAAATTGATTCAAAAGACTTCCCTTTTCACAAGACACTGCCTCAGAAAAGCCCATTACCAGGGCCACTTCCCACTGAGGGACTGAAGCACACCTCTGAATATGCAAACATTAACTAGAACCTCACCCAAGTTCTTTGAAATGCCTTGAAAGAGGCACACCTCTGCCTGACTAACTCAGAAGTCAGAGATGTTCATGTTTTCTTTGTTTTTCTATATGGAAGAGAAATGGTTTAAAAACTTTTTACATATTGCAATGAGCTTTTATCTTCTAAGAAAAAGTCAGATTAAAGAAGAAATAAAATCCCATAGTTCTAGCGTGCTTATGGAATTAAAATCCCAGAAAGGTCCTACCCTAGTCACCATTGCTCTCCTCATTTTTCAGTGGCTAATATGCATCTTTCAGCGCACATCAAATTAAAACAAACAAACACAAAATGGAAAGAAAACCAAAAGTTACAGAACTAATAAGGAAAAAGAACAAATAAATCTCATGTTTTGAACAGGTATGACTTAAACCCTTCATATCTGAAGCTTTGCCCAGCCTAACCTCTGAAATTGTCCTTCTACCTGGTTTGCCTTATAAATGAAGTTAGTTTGCAGCTATGAGATGTCAGATTGCAAGTCATACCAGCAAGTTATGAATGTAATTCAGGAGAGAGTTGACTGACTTGATAATAAGTGGGTTTGAAATCAACTTACCACTTTAATCATACACAATTATACTTTGCATTCCAGGTTTCCACCTTAAGTGGAATTTGGATGGGCAATAATGGATAAAAATTGTTCATTTTTATTTCTGGTACTGTGGTTTGGAACAGATATACCTCTTTTTTCATATTAAAAAGTTTAATCACTGAGAATCTGACTCATCTGAAACATAAGGTGCCAAGAATACATTATTTACTACCTTTTCAAATATTGCCAAATTAGGACAAAATATTATCCTCTTAGGTGTCATAAGCACTGCTATACAGGGCTGACGAGATCAAAGATTATATTTTCTATCATTTGCTAACTGGTTTGATCCTCTCC